ATGTGAAGCGCTGTTTAACCTGGTCAGGACCGAGTGCGGCAACATAAAAAAAGAAGCCTGCAAAAGGCAGACAGAGTATGCAAAATGCGACTGCTAAAAACACTAAAAGTCTTAAAAGTCTCTTCATGCCCTTTTTGCTGTCTTCGCTCTCGACCGGTACACTTGAACGCGACTTCAGCTCAGCGAAAATAGAAATATAACAAAACGAAATTAAAATGGAAGGAAGCACGATTAGAAGGATAGAATGGCTTATGATGTAACTTCTAACCTTCGACGGCTGGTGCTCTACAGTCCATGGACGTACGCAAGGGTACCTCAACGTGGAAAGAGCTTTCTCACTATTGTACTCCGTCCATAAAGTATCTGGTAAACTTGAAATAATCGCCATCAGCCAAATGGCGGTGATAGCAAAGTACAGTGTTTTTCTTGTGAGATGCCCGGTGCGGTTGAACGGTTTAACAATGGCAATATAGCGCTCCACTGCGAGCACGCATAGGGTCAACACCGACGCGTCGAACGAAATGCAAACGATCGCGTTTCCAGCTAGGATCTTGCAGAAAATGTCCCCTGACGTGGTGCTCAATCGAATATTGTGCAAAGCGAAGTCATAGATGCCGGAGCAGAATAACAACGTTAACAAATCCGCTACTGCTAAGTTCATCAGCAGATAGTTTGTTGTTGTGTGCATCGATGGCGTTTTGCGCACGATGGTGATTACAATGCTGTTTCCCACGACTCCAAAAAGCACGACAAACGAGTACAATGAGGCAAATACTTTGTCTTGGGAAGTGATGAGATAAGACACACTGACGTTGCTTCCGTTCATTTTGTACAGTGAAAGCAAAACTTCCTGTAGTTACTGTAACAGAGACCAACCTGATATGGCACAGTCGCTTTTGGCAGTCCACTGAATGCGCTTTCCGCAGCCTGTTGCAGTCACCTGTTTAGTATATTTCGGTACCTTTTTAATATGAATAACAGCAAAACTAATTATAATTCCAAGTTTAAACCGGTCGAAAAATCAATCTTGTTAGTGGAAGTTATATTTAAATAAACAGTTTATTTGGAGACTTAGGGAACTATAAGATATTTAAGAAATGAAAAGAAGAAGTTCAAATTAAGCTAAAAGGCCGGCTCAAAAATGTCACGACTTAAGAAATGTCCATTTCAATGGAAATGCGGCAAGATTAGTTTATGGCTGGATTCATGGCAATTAGTTGGACTTGGAATAAAAGTTTACATAGAAAATATGACAAACACGAAGGGGAGGCAAGCAGTCCGAATTCTATAATGGAAATCTTTAACTGAGATGGACCGCTCCTGAATTAATTTCATGAGTTTTCTTTTTAAAAGCGGCTTTCCTTTATGTAGATTAAAATTGGGAACCTTTCTCTGTTAAGTCTAGCTGGCAATTTTTCGGGAGTTAAACTGTTAGAATAATGCCCTGAAACTAACAAAATTTGGTCGTGAGCCTTTGCAGAGAACAAATGGACTGATGTATGTATATATCAATCGATAAAAGGTGCGAACGTGCCCTTCTAATTAAAAAAACGTGAACATCGCTTAGCGAACAAGCTGGTTAGATCTATTTAGCATATTAAGTAAGGGGAAAAATTTATCAACGCTGTCGATGTCTTCTTTTCTTACAACCAAGCAAAGTGCTAACAGAATGAACGTCGGTGAAAAAATACTTAACCTCGAGAAAACACTTATTGTAAAAAAATAAGAAAAAACAGAAAAAATGGGAATATCAAAGATTTACAAAAAAACCCCCACTCTATCTTAAGAACGTTCGCGCTAATTGTTTCTGCGCATCCTCACTGCGCACGCAAATTCACACGACACGTCATCCATGAGCGCGCGCGCTAAGTAATAAAATGAACAATGATAGGGCAGATGGCCACTGCCAAAGTTTTCCCTGGATTTAACTATCTTGGACGTTCGGTGACCCCTATTATTCTTTCCAGAAACGGATTCTATTTACAATTATCTCCACATTGTCCAAAAATAAACAAACAAAAAAAAAATGTGGGAAGTTAAAAAAATTTCAAGATTTCTGTCCACGGGACATTGAATCCTGCCATCATTTGACTGCAAGGCGTGTGAAACTGTGGTCGCTAAATGCGAACGTCTTCTTTAAGGAACCTCACCAGTTGACTAAATTCACTTAAATGGTCCACTTAATAATATTTGGCAGAGAACATTTCACTTCAAAGTTCTAATTGCAATATTTTTGGGCTTACAGACACTGTGGCCTTATTCGCTAACGAAACCCGATTTTTTTAGATTTAGGGTGTTCTTCCGGGCATGTTCTCTCCCCAGTTTTTTACATTTCTGACATAACTAACTAATCATCTTAAATTTTCGCGCGAACGTCCTGAAAATTTAATTGAAGCATTTGCATTTGTGCCTATATATGTTGTGTTGCTCGTTCTACCTCTCTAAATTTGTATCTGCTTTATCCAGGGTAAGAAGTGTAAGTGTTATATAGCATGTGCATGTAGAGTAAGCTACTGAAAAACTATCATTTTGCAAGTAGTGTAATCATTAGTTAGCTCAGTAATTAAAATAATAAAAATACTGTAAGTACTGTAGTGGTTAATGTGAGTATTGCTAGGTATTTACGTTGTAATTAGGGGTAGTTTTGTAAGTAATTTCAGCAGTGTTCTAATTATTGTAAGTGTTGTATGTAAAGTTGTATGTAGTATTAAATAAATAAATAGATAAATAAATAAATAAATTTAAAAAAGGGAAACAACTGCTATAAACACACACCAGAGTAAATTATTTTGTGACAGCTTTGATAGCAGGTTATTAAGACTTAGTCTATTTGACAGCTCACACGGCACTTCTATTTTAAAAGAAGACAAAACAATTTTCCTGTTTACACTTACTAAAGTTAAAAAGACTGGTACTGTTATAACATGTTAGTCCAAGCAACTGCAGAAAGAAATCTATTTTCACTGGTATGAACACGTTAAAGTGCAACTAACCCCCAATTTTTTTCCTTTAATGAAAGCTACCAGTTTTCCCAATTGCTTCAGCGAAAAATTTGTCTCGATTGATAAAATCCCCGCGTTTCTACAGGCGTTTTAAGTTGTAATTTCTGCGGCCACGACCAAGCATAGTGGGATCTAGGTGGGGCTTCTATGGCTGTCATCGAAGGACATGGCTTAAAACACTCAAGAGACGTTTGACTGGGTTTCGGGTGCAGTGAAAATATATTTGGGCTATTTGTGCTTCAAATTTTATCAAAAGTGGACAAGACTTATATATGAAAGAACTGTATCATCTAGCAATACAATTCGGAGTCTTGCTACGGCTAGGACGGCTACGATGTATATATTTTTTTTCGATTTCGAAGTGCGGGTCGCCAGTCGAGCCCGCCACTCTGCAAGTCACGATCGACAATTTGCCGGCCCATTTTGCTAATCTACTAATCTACATACAACACTTCTTTAAGTACTCTTACCGAACCCTGGATAGTTCATAACGACGAGAGCATATTTCTCCCCTAATTATTCAAAAACGCGGAAATATTCGTCTTCGACGGACCTTATCTACACAAAGTCAAGTAATGTGTACGAACACAAACTTTGCTAGTTACACAAATTTGCATTATTCGTACTAGTAATTAAAAATCCTTCGACAAGATCTTGACAAAAGCTTCAGTATGGTATCATTTAAATGAATATATTTCTCCTTCACTGTTCTTTCGTTTTAAAAGTCATTTTTACGTACGTTAATAACCTGAGTGTTGCGTTTCGATCGAAAGCAAGCACATTCTCCTTTCAGCGCTACAATCTCCGTCGGTAAAGTCGAATCTAAATGGTTTGGTTTACTTTTGCCCATATAATTATTCGTTTTAAGTTTGTAACTGAGACATTTTTCGTTGCTCAAAGAACAAAACAATTGTGTATGCGGGAGGGCCTTTGAGAAACTCAGCTGCCGATTGTCGACTTTGTGCGTGTGGTTGCATATAAAATCCACAGATACCTAGCTAGTTCTGCAGTTCGAAGCTTCGCTAGGTCTTAATCGCCTCGTTGTAGGACGTAGGTGTCGTGGTGTCGTTGACTATTCGTTTCGGAAACTCTCTATTTCGAGAACAAAATGCATGCTGTACCGCTACCCCCTCCAACAGCACATCTTCCTTGCATTCTGCAACTATTTTGAATCACATTATCGCATGTTCACATAATTATATTCTTCTCAGAAGTAAAATATTGTTAGTCCTTCGATGACGTTACTGGCCAACTCGCCCAATTCTTCGCTATTCCTCGGTCGCGGCCGTGGAAAAGGCCAATTTTATGGACTTTGAAAATTCATAGAAAATTAACGAAAATATATACAACGATAATTTTGTATGGTAGTACTCTACGAGATAATTAGATTCAAGTTCGGAAATCGTTGATCATTGTCGATAGAGTCCTGAAACTTCAGAAGAGAGTTGCCAGGTAATTTAACATGCTGACAGCTTTTCATCCTCAGTGTCTTTTTTTTTAACACCTTAAACTAGTTTCCTTTTTGTCAAGGAATCGTTAATCAGAAGAACTTTTCTAGCTTTTAAATATGTTAGCCCGTTTTATTGTTCACCTAGTTATCTGGACTCCTTATTTTTAAGGAATGTTGACATGTTGTCCTTCCAATAAGCGCAAAAAGGGAGGAGGCAGATTTTCGGCAGTTAGAACAATAGAACTGTAGGTGAATGGAACAAAATCGACTCGAAATATCGTAGAATGGATTTAGTTTCTGCTTTTAAGCGTTCTCTATAGAAACACGTTTTAAATGAACAAAAATCGTCGTTCATGATTTATCGCCAATTGTTCTTTTGTAGTAAGTAAAAGTTTAAAACTTTCTTTACATTGAATTGTGTATTAAAACGTGCTAACGCTACGGCTTAACAACAATTCAGTTCCAACTGACTCGTTAATTTGCATTCGACATGCGTCAGAAATTTGAAGGCGCTACGCGTGAATAGAAATCTTTCCCAATCGAACCCGTCAGACGCACAGTAGGGATATAATAAATATCTTACTAACCTCGTCTTCTTGGTCCGTACTTTAAGTTACGGGTCCTCGTTTCCCCCCCGCGCGCTTCGCGCTTAGGCCATAAAGCGAAGGGGAAAAACCTCGGTCCGTAACTTACAGTACGGACCTCGAACTCGGTTAGTAAGAGGTATCTATTATCAGGACTATTTGAATCGACTTTTCTTTCCTTTCTATGTATGCTTATACAAAAGAATGTAAGTAGTGTGAAGCCTTTAATTATGTGAGCTTGCAATTGCCAAGAGCTATAAAATATTTTTTGTTAGCTGCTATAAAAGGGAAAGTAGTCAGTCTTTACTCCTCAGATCCTTCAGGAAAGCGAATACGTTATCATTATACAAATGACGTGGAAACGAGGAGAGAATGGGGAGAAGGAAGATTTGCGAGGTGGATATCAAATATTCTGGTGTTATGTGTCTCCAACAGTTCGTAGTTTGTTTACGTTCGCCGGGTCCGGAAAAAGTACCACCAGAATTAATAGCACAACAAATATTTTTATTCCTTACAAATTTGTAAAATTTTTATCATGAAGGTGAATTAATCAACATGACACGAGCGTGGGACAAAGAAAAATTCTGAGTCCCCGACAGGAATCGAACCCATGACCTCCCGAACACCGGGATTGATTAATTCACCTTCACATTTTATTACCGAGCTTAAAATTCACCATCTTTATTAACTTATCACGACTCACGATGAATTCGATAGCGTTGATCCTAGCAGTATGCAGGACACCTATCATATATGAACTCAGTTAAATGACCTTGCTCTCCATGGGTTCTCGTAGCCCAGTGGATAGAGCGCCCGCCCGGTGTTTGGGAGGTCATGGGTTCGATTCCTGTCGGGGACTCAGAATTTTTCTTTGTCCCACGCTCGTGTCATGTTGATTAATTCACCTTCACATTTCATTATCGGGCTTAAAATTCACCATCTTTATTAACTTATCACAACTTTTTATCATATTTGTACATTTTAGCCTTTAAAATGTTCTTTAGAGTTTTTATAATTTTTACACTAATTTTATTTTTTAAAAATTGTACTTAAGATTTTATGAATTGTAGATATCTTTATTTCCCAGGATGCCTATGGACACCGGCCTCTCTGCTGAATGGGCCACTCTGGTAAACTAAAAGCTTTTTCTGCGTGACGACTTGAAAATTTAATAGTTTCAGTTTTTCGTTTGAATGAATGTTCTGTCAATTATATGAACTTTTTAACCATGTAGGTTATATTTAGCACACAGCTGCGTGAGTATTGTGTTGTCACACAGCATGTTCCTGTTCCACCTTGGACATCTTGGGGGTCCCTGCACGGGCTACATTTCTTCCTGTTTTGCCTGAGTACGTGTTAGTTTTACAACAGAGTTTTTGCCGCAGCACCTCTCTATAATTAGTGCTTTGTGCAGCGTATAAAATTGGATTAATAAATGAGTTAGAAAATATTAGAAACCGAACAATTCTATGAACAAGAAACAAAGATGTGAAGCGCTGTTTAACCTGGTCAGGACCGAGTGCGGCAACATAAAAAAAGAAGCCTGCAAAAGGCAGGCAAAATATGCAAAATGCTACTGCTAACAAAACTAAAAGTCTCAAAAGCCTCTTCATGTCCCTTTTGCTATCTTCGTTCTCTTCCGGTTCACTTGAACGCGACTTCATCTCAGCGAAAATAGAAATATAACAAAACGAAATTAAAATGGAAGGAAGGACGATTAGAAGGATAGAATGGTTTATGATGTAACTTCTAGCCTTCGACGGCTGGTGCTCTACAGTCCATGGACGGATGCATGGGTACTTCAACGTGGAAAGAGCTTTCTCGCTATTGTACTCCGTCCATAAAGTATCTGGAAAACTTGAAATAATCGCCATCAGCCAAATAGCGGTAATAGCTAAGCAAAGTGTTTTTCTTGTGAGATGCCCGGTGCGGTTGAACGGTTTAACAATGCCAATGTAGCGCTCGACTGCAATGACGCACAGGGTCAGCACCGACGCGTCGAACGAAATGCAAACGATCGCGTTTCCAGCTAGGATCTTGCAGAAGATGTCCCCTGACGTGGTGCTCAATCGAATATTATGCAAAGCAAAGTCGTACAGGCCCGGGCACAATAACAACGTTAAGAAATCCGCCACAGCTAAGTTCATCAGCAGATAGTTTGTTGTTGTGTGCATTGATGGCGTTTTGCGCACGATGGTGATTACAATGCTGTTTCCCACGACTCCGAAAAACACGATAAACGAGTACAATGAGGCAAATACTTTGTCTTGAGAAGTGATGAGATAAGACACACTGACGTTGCTTCCGTTCATTTTGTAAACTAAAATTAAAAAGTTTCTTCAGTCACTATGAAAGAGGCCAACCTGATATGGCTCAGTGGGTTTTTGCTTTTGGCGGTCCGAATGAGCTTTTCGCAGCCTGTCGGTACCTTTTTTGATATGAATAATAGCGAATCTAATTATAATTCCAGGTTTAAACCGGTCGAAAAATCAATCTTATTGGTGGAAATGAAAGAAATGAAAAGAGGTAGTTTAAATTAACCTAAGAGGCGGGCATCAAATGTCATAGCTTGATAAATGTGCTTTTCAATGGAAATGCGGCAAGGTTTTTTACGCCTGGATTCATGGTAATTGTTAAGGTTTAGACTAAAAGTTTACGCCTAAAATATGGCAAACTGACGCATAATTATGAAGGGAAGCTAAATGGTCCATATTCAGTGGCAGAAACCGTTTTACTGAGATGGACCCGCCCGTGAATTAATTTCATGGAGTTTCTTTCTTTCTTTTCTTTCTTTTCTTTTTTTTATAGATATGTATATAAAAAGGCTTTCCTTTACGTAGATTAGAATAGGAAACTTTCCTCTGTTAAGTCTGGCTGACAGTTCTACGGGAGTTAAAGAAATAGTGCCTTGAAATCAGCAACATTTTGTCGTGGGCCTTTACGAAGAACAAATGGACTGATGTATGTATTCATCAATCGGCAAAAGATGCGAACAAGCCCTTCTAATAAAATGGGCATCGCTTAGCGAACAAGCTGGCTATATCTATTTAGCATAAAGTAAGGAAAACAGCCTGCTATAAAGACACACCAGAGTAAATTATTTTGTGGCAGCTTTGACGGCAGGTTATTAAGACTAAGTCCATTTAATTGACAGCTCACATGGCACTTCTATTTTAAAGGAAGAAAAACAATTTCCTGTTTCTATTAACTAAAGATAAAAAGACCGTGACTCGTACTCTTGTAGCATGTTAGTCCAAGCAACTTCAGAAAGAAATCTATTTCACTGGTGTAACTAAAGCTATGTTTTAAAATGTATGGTAATACTCTATGGGATAGTTAGATTAAAGTTCGGAAAACGTCGATCATTGTTGATAGAGTCCTGAAACTTCAGAGGAGAGCTTCGAGCATCATTTAATATGCTGACAGATTGTCATTCAACCGCACTGTCTCTTTTAACACCTTAAACTGGCTCCTTTTTTCAAGAAATTCGTTAATCAGAAGAACTTTTCTAGTTTATAAATGGGTCAGCCCCTTTTATTGTTCACCTATACTTGGAATCCTTATTATTGTTGACATGAGCAAAAGAGCGACGCTGACTCAGTGATTCATAAGGATATATTCTGTTCCGCTGTAAGTTCCCATTCTGTTTGTATCTTTATATTTGTGAGTGTGTGTGTAAGTGTGTTACCGACCGATAACTGTATGAATAATCTATGTAACTTAATGTCTGCCCATTCTTTTTAGCCCTTATAGTTATTTTGGGCAGGCAGTACTCTATCCTAATTTAATGTTTATTGTAATTATTTTATAAATTGTGA